TTTAAAAATCAGTGCTTGCGATTTTACAAACTGCTTTTTTCTCTTCATTAAGTTCAAGGTTAAGGTTTGATATGTCATGAAATTTTTGTTTGATTTTTTTCTCTAACGTATGTACAAGATTTGGTTAGATGCATAATGATAATCTATTTCTAGAAAGTTCATTCAAGATCTTGGTTATGGAGAAAAAAGGGTAATGCAAAGACAATCAAATGATTGTCATGACAAGAGAAATCACGAGAGACGATCATGTGATTGTTACGATGAACAAGGGCGAACAAAAAATTGGTTTTTTGTACAGGTATTTTTTATTTTACTAAAGTACCCGAAAATAAGCAACCTTATAGCAAAAAAGGGGTGCTTATTTTCGGAAGAATACGGTATCGTTCTCTACCACAATTCTTGCAAGTTACTAATATAAATAGCAATATCTGATTCTACAACCATTCTTGAATCTGAGTCTTAATAAGCCAAATCGAAGTTACAAGTCAATTCAGTTTGTTGAATTGAGTCTCAAAAGGGTTTATTAAAATTACAGATCAAATTCAAAGACAAAGCCTCAAAGGAAAATTCTGATAAGTATATATTTTATTATTTTGTGGTAATTAAAAGTGGACATGAATTACTTGTTAACTATTCTTTCGTTTATTGAATATATAGTCTTTTTATACATTTCACTTTTCTATAATATAAATATTGAAATTTTAAGGTTTATACCTAAATCCCAAGATTTACGTAAAAATTTGAAGGTATACCTCAAAAGACTTTAGGGTACAGTCTTTGTGTAACTATGTAGACATCGAAATTTTAAGGTTTACATGATTCATATATTTTCTCTGCTACTAAGCCACTTATTATTACCATTTTAATATAAGCTATGAAATAATCAAAGAGAATTAATCAATATACTAAAATTGGATATTGTTACCAGAATTAATAGAGGAATACTAATAAACTATATACATGCAGCAAAGTTATGTAGAATATGCAGTAAGGCAAAATCAAAGTTATGTGGAATATGCAGTAAGGCTGTTAGAGCCAAGAAG